TAACGCCCACATACTGTAGGTCCTTACCTTATTGTTCACTCAGGAGCGGTGAAATTCTCTGTTTTACAACCAATGTTGTGAACCATGTCTGTTTTGTTACACAAGTTTCAATTTGTATTATTGTTATTGCTCATTGATGGTGTCCTGGGAGACTCTATTTAAGAGTGTCGGGCATGGGCGCGAGGGCGCGCAGGGTCTGACGTCAGACGCCGACTTGGAGCAGGGCCATTTACCTCGAGGACCTGTTTCCGTGGATTATAATCCCTGGTGGAGTATCTAGTTTTTGGATTATCGTGACTTTTGGGATCTAACGAGGCTGTGTGGATTATCCCTCCATGGTCGCTGCTGGGCTCCAGGACCTGTTTTGGTGGACCGTGTGGCTTCACCACAGAGCGCCACAATTGTTTGTTTGTGAATGCTTTTTGATTCTGTGTGTAGGACCGCGCTGGAGCGTGGGGGATGTTGGCTTTTCAGAGTGATAACTGGATCAGTAATAAATAGCCAGTTTTGAGCCAAATGCGTGTTCTGTACCTGTGCTTATTTTACTCCACTGATGTGACCATCTCCTCTCGCGACCTTTTTAAAGCGTTGTTGCTCTGGTGTCTTGGAAAGATAGGCAAATTGGTACAAGTGTTTATACCGACGTCTATCTGAGCATTTGAAAGAGAAATTGGAAGAACTGGATATAAAGACGGCTTATTCTGACTGAAACTGGTGAACGAGCCAAAACAGAGCTGCTAAGTGGACCAAAACATTTTATTTGGACATCTTTCAGCGTGGCAATTTAAGTATGAGAACGGATGTCTGTGTTTGATCAATCCAATCCTGGCAGAGTTATCATTGATCTCACAATTTTCTCTGACAATAAACAAGACATTTAGTTTTGTCATATCTGTTTGCTGAGTATTCATAGGGACTTTTTTACTTTGACAGGACAGCACCAGCGTGAAATGGGTTGAGAAAGACTACAGACCATGTGGTGTTTAACAATTCATTAAAACCCAGTTGAGGCCAGACAATACTGCTATCCATATATATTATTTTATTGACAATGTGCTCGTCTAATGAGACCAGAGAGTTTTGTTCAAAAAGAAATAGAGGGCTTTTCTTTCCTATAATGTGGGAAAATCCTCCCATAGACCTTTGATATGGCGTTGTTTTCCATTAGTCTAAGATCAGACGAGGTTAAAGCAGGAGAGAGGTTTTCAACATGCGGACCTCTGATCCGACGCCGCGGGGGAGAGGACGAGGGGGCTTGTGGGTAAAACAGCGAGCAGCAGGATCCAGGATGAGCAGAGATAGACGTTGTAAGAGGCATTTGAACGGCTTTAGAGTGGATTCAACGACGTACACAGCAGGACCAGCTACAACCACGGATGGGACTGAGTCTGGAGGCTGCTGCAGGAACAGGAAGTCAAGAGAGAAGCAGAAACTGTGAGAGAAATGTGTTAAGAATGTGCATTTATTAGAGCTTTTGTGAGGCCAAGCTCTTGCACAAACTTGTATGAGGCTAATCAACAAGTCCCAATGTTTGTGTGGTTCTTTTGAAAGACAAGACAGATGTGTTTCCTTGTTCACATCTGTTTAAATCTGACCTGCACCATGTAAGACGTCTAAAGGGGGCGACAGTGGCTCAGTTGGTAGAGCATTGGCCTTTGAGCCTGAAGGTCGTGGGTTCGACCCCGCAACAAGACCTTCTCCTCTAACTCCCACTGATGTCTGCTGTCGTTGTGTCCTTGGGCAAGACACTTAACCCACTTTGCCTGTAAGGAGCACGGAAGTGATGTTTGCTGCTGAAATTTCCCCGTTGTGGGACAAATAAAGGACCTTCTTCTTCTTCTTATAAATCCTCTTTCAAAACAATCAAAAAGACAATATGAACTTGTTTGAATCAGTCGCTGGGAGAAAAAACAAAACATTGGGGTAATTATCTAAAGCATTGATGCCTTTACTGTGAAAATATCCAACTCCCCGACCGTGTAATATCTGTGATGTTTGGTTGCAGGACTTATTGCCCCCCAGCTGTGCAGTGTCATGAAAAATAATAAAAATAAATAAGATTAAGGTAACAATGCTTCTTGTTCTGTCCCCATCAAATAGATATATCATAAATGAATTAATAACTCTGTCGTGTTGGATTTAATTGATCAATGCAAATAAAAGTTTCTGTATTGTTGAACTTCATTAACTTTGACAAAGAAACGCAAAACTTTATTTCTTAGACTGTGTTTTGATTGGTTCATGTGTCTCTTTAAGTGTTTACTTTTCTAATCTGCTGTTGGCAAATCAACAACATGTGGAGTTGTTTGAGAAGCCCGCGGTTTGTTTTTTTTAGCTCCTTAAAAAACACATTTGAAAACTTTTACCGAGTCGTTATTTTGAAAAGCCAGATTTATATTAGTGTCATACAAATACATTTAGTACCAACAGTAAAACATGTTAAAGACTGAAGCTGGAGGAACATGTTCAAAACAGAGATCTCGGCTAAAAAGTTAAAAATCCACTTTTGACTTTATTGAATGATGTATTTATTTGTTTACTTTTGTACGGAAGATGTATTTTTGCGGCTGGACACTTGAATTTCTCTAAAGAGGATCAAAAAAGTGTCTGTCTGTGTCTGTGTGTGTCTGTCTGTCTGTGTCTGTGTGTGTCTGTCTGTCTGTCTGTGTCTGTCTGTCTATTTTTATCTCTCTCTGGTCTCTCTCTCTATCTAGCTTTCTATCTCTTTATCTCTATCTCTCTGGTCTCTCTCTATATCTATCTCTCTCTCTCTCTGGTCTCTATCTCTCTCTGGTCTCTATCTCTGGTCTCTCTCTATATCTATCTCTCTCTCTCTCTCTGGTCTCTATCTCTCTATCTAGCTTTCTAGCTCTTTAGCTCTCTATATATCTATCTCTCTGGTTTCTCTCTATCTCTCTCTCTCTTTATATATATATATATATAAATATATAATCTTTCTATCTCTCTATCTATCTTTCTGTCTCTCTATCTATCTTTCCATCTCTCTATCTCTCTATCCATCCATCCTCCACTCTGCAGTCTCACAGATCAGAGCCGGTGCAGAGAGAGGGTTCTCACCGGAGGAGCAGCAGACGAGCACCCGCATTCTCAGGCAGCTGTGGCTGTGGTGATGAGTGGGCGTGGCTGGAACACACAAACACATGTCAGTCTCCTGCCCCCTGCAGGCCGCGGTGGGTACTGCGGCTCTGTCCTCAGCTCAACTGCTGCTTTTCAGAATCAGAATCAGAATCAGAATCAGAATCATTTTTATTGCCAACGTAAGTAACGGGAGGTCACAGACTTGGAAATTGCTTTGGCTCAGTGCAACAGTCAAAAAGAGATAATAAAAATAAGAATAAAAAACACTTCTAAAGAATAAATTTAAATTTAAAATAGAGTTACAGTTACTATTTACAATATACAAGTGCACATGGTGCACACAATGTAAGGTGACAGCAGTACAGTGAAGTAAAGTGACGTATGATGGGCAGTAAAGTGACTTTATAAAGGGCGGGGGGACAGGTTAAGAAGTGTTCAAGAGTCCAACAGCAGAGGGGAAGAAACTGTTCTTGTGGCGGGAGGTTCTAGTCCTGATGGACCGCAGCCTCCTGCCTGAGGGGAGTGGTTGGAATAGTCCATGTGCAGGGTGAGAGGGGTCGGCTGTGATACGACCAGCCCGGCCTCGAGCTCGGGCGACGTACAGGTCCTGCAGCGATGGAACGCTGCGGCAGATCACTTCCTCTGCAGAGCGCACAATGCGCTGTAGTCTCTGTTTGTCCCTGACTGTGGCTCCAGCGAACCACACGGTGATGGAGGAGGTGAGGATGGACTCGATGATGGCCGTGTAGAACTGCACCAACATCTGTGCAGGCAGCTTGGCTTTCCTGAGCTGCCGCAGGAAGTACATCCTCTGCTGGGCCTTCTTGATGAGGGAGCTGATGGTCGGCTCCCACTTGAGGTCCTGGGTGATGGTGGTGCCCAGGAAACGGAAGGACTCCACAGAGGTGATGGGGGAGTCCATCACGGAGGGTGGGGGCGGGGGGACAGTGCTCTTCCTGAAGTCCACAATCATCTCCACTGTCTTCTGGGCGTTCAGCTCCAGGTTGTTACCACTGCACCAGGACACCAGCCGGTCCACCTCCCTCCTGTAGGCGGACTCATCGTTGTTGGAGATGAGTCCAATGAGGGTGGTGTCGTCCGTTTACTACAGCCACAGCACATTCTGCGACTCCAGCGCGTTATGGACCAACAATAACATCAAAACTCTGGCCTCGGACTTTAATCAGACACAACGAGGTCTGAGATTAGAACGACGTCGTGAAGAGGAAGCATTTACACAGAGGAGAGCTGGAGTCTGTAAACACGGATCTATAATCCTATTTACTTCATGTTTATCTGAGTATTTTAATTAACTGGTGCAATGAGATTTGTGATTTATATTAGGTCCTTCCTGGCCCTACTCTTCTCTACTCTATTTTAATCAACTCTACTAGAAAGAGACCAGAAAAAGACCAGAGAGAGAGACCAGAGAGAGACCACAGAGAGAGAGACCAGAGAGAGAGAGAGACCAGAGAAGGAGCCAGAGAGAGACCAGAGAGAGACCAGAGAGAGAGACCAGAGAGAGAGACCAGAGAGAGACCAGAGAGAGACCAGAGAGAGATCAGAGAGAGAGACCAGAGAAGGAGCCAGAGAGAGACCAGAGAGAGACCAGAGAGAGAGACCAGAGAGAGATCAGAGAGAGAGACCAGAGAGAGATCAGAGAAAGAGACCAGAGAGAGACCAGAGAGAGAGACCAGAGAGAGATCAGAGAGAGAGACCAGAGAGAGAGAGACCAGAGAGAGATCAGAGAGAGAGACCAGAGAGAGATCAGAGAAAAAGACCAGAGAGAGAGACCAGAGAGAGAGCCCACTTGGGACTTTTGCAAATGTATTCCAATGTGGTTTTACTGCAAAGGGCAAATAAATAGTGAAGCTGATCCTCCATCGTATATTCTGTGTTGTTAGTGTCCTGTCTTTTTAATGTCTATAAACCACACGTGTTTGACAATAAAAAAAAAAATAAACTCACAGATGTAGTAATAGTACTGGCCCACGTTGAACTCGTATCCCAGGGAGAAGGCGCTGTATCGCTGGAACTTCTCGGAGAACTTGATGGGAGCGTGAGGCACGTAGGGCCGGTTGCACTCCCAGCGCTTGAACCCCTGGCCCGGGTCACATGACTTGTATCCACGGTAACTGACCATGTAGAGGATGTACTGCTCCGCCTTGGTGCGCTCTAGCGTCCCCCGCTGGCTGCTGTTGTAATGCGGGCAGTAGATGTCCAGGTAGTCGTTGACGTTGACCTGCACCGTGTAGCCCTCTCTGCGAAGCCTGGAGGACAGAGAGTGTGTAGGTGAGGAAGACATGTTTAATTATGTAGCGCATTTCACAAACCCGGATCACGAAGGGGCTTTGTTGTTTATTTTTGTATTGCATAGATTTTTTACAGCGCTTTTAAGGTCACTCTAAGACGCTTCACATGTCATTATTCTATCACTCTAAAAACAGTGGTGATAAACTAGCCACAGCTGCCCTGGGGCACACTGACAGAAACTAGTATGTGCCATCGGCCCCTCTGACCACCACCAACCATTCACACACACACACACACACACACACACACACATCTGACTTATTCTAGGCAATGTAGGTGAAGTGTTTTGCCTAAGGACACAACCACAGCTGGTGTTTTCCTGGAGGTCTCCCATCACCGTACTAACCAGGCCCTGCTCTGCACAGCTTCAGAAGTCTGGGATGTGGCTTTTGCGTGCAGGTACGGCCACATTTGGAGTAATTTCCAACAGAAAAACAATCTATCTATCTATCTATCTGTCTAATCTTTTTATCTCTCTCTCTCTGGTCTCTCTCTCTCTCTCGGGTCTCTATCTATCTATCTCTCTCTCTCTCTGGTCTCTATCTCTCTCTCTCTCTGGTCTCTATCTCTCTCTCTCTCTCTCTGGTCTCTATCTATCTATCTCTCTCTCTCTCTGGTCTCTATCTCTCTCTGGTCTCTATCTATCTATCTCTCTCTCTCTCTCTGGTCTCTATCTCTCTCTCTCTCTGGTCTCTCTCTATCTCTCTCTGGTCTCTATCTATCTATCTCTCTCTCTCTCTGGTCTCTATCTCTCTCTCTCTCTGGTCTCTCTCTCTCTCTCTCTCTCTCTGGTCTCTATCTATCTATCTCTCTCTCTCTCTCTGGTCTCTATCTCTCTCTCTCTCTGGTCTCTCTCTATCTCTCTCTCTCTCTGGTCTCTATCTCTCTGGTCTCTATCTCTCTCTCTCTCTCTCTGGTCTCTCTCTATCTATCTCTCTCTCTGGTCTCTCTCTATCTCTCTCTCTCTCTGGTCTCTCTCTATCTCTCTCTCTCTCTGGTCTCTCTCTCTGGTCTCTCTCTCTCTGGTCTCTCTCTCTCCAGAGCAGAACAGTCCAACATCATCTGTTTACTGCAGTAGAACCACAGACCAGTGACAACAACACTTACATACGTGTGCATAATCACAGGCATGTATACTCCTGAGTACCTACATCCACACTATTCTATTATCACTATAGTATATTATTATTATTATTATTTTCAGGTTGTTACTTTCCCTTGTGGATCAATGAAGTCTGTCGAAGTCTAAGTCAGTCAGTGTTAGCCATAGATCAATAACATACAGAAGCCGTTCCCAAAGTCAGTAACACCGCTGCCCCCTTAAAAATCTGACGGGTCTGAGCGGCCCCTGAAATAATAACCAAGAAGACAACGTTAAAAATAGGCTCTTCTCGTTATTTTATTTGGGGGTAATAGCCTCTGCTACAAACATGAAAATGACGCACCCCATTCTGTAATACAAAAATGATTACAATTTGATTATTCAAGTCAAATTATGAACACAGATATTTTGATTTTACAAACAAAATATTACTCATTTAACGTACACTAATTATACACAACATTTTTATTTTTTTTATGACCTCTCGCGGCCCCTGGACCCCACTTTGGGCGACACTGACACACTGAATATAGCCACAGTTTAGTGAAAGCATTCATAGTTGTTTCTGCAGAGTTTGAACTTCATTGTTGCGATCGAGTTGGTAGATTATCACAGTCCTGTATCACACATTATTATTATTAGTTTAAAACATTGAATACGTTTGCACATAGTTGGAGGTGCATAAAAAACTTGTCAACTTCATCATTTCCACGCTGCTCTGCCTTTTGACGAGGTGGAAACAGAGCTGGAGGTGAAACTACAGCGCTACAGTGTGTTTTAGGAGCTTCAGGACAGGACTTTCTGTTACGAGGTGAAAATGAGGAAGACTCAAAATGCAGGAATGCCAAAATAAAGCTTTTAATAAAACAAAGTCCAAGGCAAAGAACAACTCCAAAAATCCAAAGTGACCAGGACAAAACTAGACAAGACAGCATCAACAAGGGGAGAGAAGCACAGGTACATATAGACACACATCAGGGCGGGGCAGACAATCAAGAGGGGAACAGGACATGAAGTAAAACTGAAATGAAACCAGATAACTAATGTCAAAATAAAACCAAATACAGAAAACATTTGGTGTAAAACAGCTGCAGTACATTCAAAATGCAGCAGCTCGAGTCCTGACTAGAACCAGGAAGTACGACCACATTAGTCCTGACTAGAACCAGGAAGTACGATCACATTAGTCCTGACTAGAACCAGGAAGTACGACCACATTAGTCCTGACTAGAACCAGGAAGTACGACCACATTAGTCCTGACTAGAACCAGGAAGTACGACCACATTAGTCCTGACTAGAACCAGGAAGTACGACCACATTAGTCCTGACTAGAACCAGGAAGTACGACCACATTAGTCCTGACTAGAACCAGGAAGTACGACCACATTAGTCCTGACTAGAACCAGGAAGTACGACCACATTAGTCCTGACTAGAACCAGGAAGTACGACCGCATTAGTCCTGACTAGAACCAGGAAGTACGACCACATTAGTCCTGACTAGAACCAGGAAGTACGACCACATTAGTCCTGACTAGAACCAGGAAGTACGACCACATTAGTCCTGACTAGAACCAGGAAGTTCGACCACATTAGTCCTGACTAGAACCAGGAAGTACGACCATATTAGGCCCCGTCCCAAATCGCGCACTTGGCGCACTTCAAAAGCGCGTTCCCGCGGGGTTGCTAAGTGCGTAGTGTGTCCCAATACTCCCGATGCGCACTTTCAACCGTCCACCCTACGCACTTTATCCGCACTTCAGTTAAGGGAGCATCCGTGCGCACTCGGCTGAAGGCTAGGCTGATATATTACCCACATTTCTTGCGGTCGTGACGTCACTGCCACAACAGAGGACATGGCGACAGTCGGAACTTCAGAGTGCGGCACTTCAGGCCCAAAGAAGTACACATTAAAGTGTGAGTACATACATTTTTTCTTCAGCATTGTATTACATGTGTGATATAACAGCTTAGGTTTGTGCGGTGATTCGGGAATAGACGTTAAAATAAAGTACAATTAAACTTATCGTAACGTTACTTCCCAAAAAAGTGGGAAAATCTTAAAAAAAAGTACAAGGTAATTAAATTGAGGAACCCATGTAATGTATACAGGTAACATGTATTTGTTCATATGTAATATGTTAGGACTTGTCACTGCCAAAGACTGGTTCAGGGACAGAGGAAGGAGAGGTGACGGCGGCCAATTGGCTTTTTTATGCTGCCATGCATGAAGCCATTGGCCAGAGGCCGTCAGTAAGGCCAGTTAGCCTGTACTCTTCAGGGCCAAAAAGTGCAGCGGTCAGCCCCACCCAGAGTGAGGCTGCAGGAGGAGAGGAGAAGGAAGTGGAGGAGGAGGAATCAGTTTTTACAACAGGAGAAGGGACCAGCTCAGCAGTAGGAGGGAAAAGATCAGGGAAAAGGAAGAGGAAAGAAACAGAAAGTGCAGCAGAGAGTCTTCATCAGTGGTGTGAGAGCATTGAAAAGAGGCAGAAGGAAGAAGATGAGCAGGACAGAGCATGGATGCAGCAGGCCCAGGGGCAGATGGAGCAAATGTTGACTTTGTTTGGAAAATTAGTGGACCACCTGACTAAAACTTGACATGACTACTTTTTTATTCACAAAATTATTTGATCAGACTTAGTAATTGCACTTTAAACCAAATGTTTGTTTTTCATGTGTTCTGTATTTTCAAAATTAAACCTGTTTTTCTATATATTGTCCTTGTCTTGGTAATCATGTTGTCGCTTAACAGTTCTCTATTTCAATTTTGATTGTTTTGCTTCATTTACAATGATGGCTTGGTCCTGATGTGTCGTGTACTTTGTAGACTTTTTTAATCCATTGATTAACTCAAACATTGGGTTGTACAACAGTTTATTGCTCATTTTGTACACACTCTTAACATTTTTTTACATTATACACAAATATCAAGAGCTGGCAGTTAATGGGAAGTCAGTATTCACTCACAGCGTAGTGTCAATTAGTAATCAGACTTCAAAAATAAAATTTACTGTAAGACATTTTTATGCAAACATAGACATGTCAAAGAGATTGGATAATAATCAAAAGAAAATGATTGAAAAATACATTTTTGGTCAAATATAAGAACAGCCTCTGATAAGATGACTGTGACTCCAGTTACATAGACAAAAAAAGGTCCTCAGTGACAAAGTGGCAGATGAACTCTCACAGATAAACATTAAAACAACATGTCTTCATAAATAAACAAATTAATTACTTAAAAAACATAGTAAAAAAATACTGAACTTTCATCAAAAAGGGCAAAATTCAAAATGGAGAATATTTCAACAAAGAAAATTGTATAAAAGCACTGTACAAATGTCCATAATTACACTAAATATACAGTAGTCATGCTCCATGAGATAACCCTGTGCAACAACAGGAGCAGACACTTGAGCAGAAAGTCGCTCCCTCAACCTGATTCCTCTTGCATCTGATTGTCCTGCATCTCCTGGGGGCATCGGTGGTGGTGGTGGCTGGTCATCCTCCCGATCCGGTTCCAGGACATCTCCGTGAGTGAGACAAACATTGTGAAGAAAAGCACAGGCAGTCACGACCTGAGTGCAAAAGGTTATCTTCACCTCTAACGCCTTAAACATTGTGGTTCTCCAGCGGGTCTTCATCATGCCGAAGGCTCTTTCAACGATTGACCGGGCACGTGAATGACAATAGTCCGTTCCTCAACCCGTTTGTGAAGAGGCATCTTGTAGGGGGTGATGATGGTAATGGGTTGTTGAATGCAAGGATAGCCACCATCACCCAAAATAAAATATCCTTGTGGAGGGTACTCTGCTCTGACGTAGACTGGGCTATTCTTCAATACGCGGGTGTCGTGTACCGAGCCAGGGAATCCAGCAAATATGTTCAAGAATCTGCCACTTGAATCACAAATTGCCTGCATCTGTATGGAGTAGAACTGTTTGTAGTTGAAATAGTCCGCTTTGTTGTCACCTGGAGGCTTAATTCTAATGTGACAGCCGTCTACTGCTCCTACAGCCTTTTCAAATGCCCTGTGCCTGGCTAAACGGGCAAAACCTCTACCAGTGTCCTCCAACGCTTCCTGTGGTGGGTAGCATATTACTCGATGTGCATTCTTTACAATCAATTCAGCAATCTTATGGACAACACGACAGACGGTCGACTTCGGGACAGAAAAGGCCATGGCAGCAACTCTAAAGGAAATCCCGTGTGCAAGCCAAGGCACAAATATGAGGATCTCCAATGGAAACCCCCAGCCATGATCTTTATCGGTCTTCAACAAATTCATCAGGCCATTCATTGAATTTCTGGTGAGGCGGTAGTGAGGTTGAAGCTCTTGCTCCACATCAAAGTAGACCTGCAGAACAGGCATGGTCTGGTTCAGCCTGGTGTAGGTCAGCATTCCTCCATTCTGATGAAAACGTGCATAAAATAGAACAAAATTATTGTCCTGATCAAGATCACAGTTACAGTCAATCGGCAGCAGCACTATTATGATCACAATCAAATTCAAAATTACTTTCAGAATAATATGAATGGAATCACTATAAAATAATAAACTGGTAAAGCAATGCTTTTTAGGAGAATATTGTTGACAGCTGCAGCAGTAGAAGTGTTTGTTTATTATTATTGATTATTGATTATTATTGACCACTGAAAACTTGCATTAGAATGTGTTTTAAACGTATTTGATGCAGAGCCCAATAATTCATAATTTTGCAGATTTTGTGTTATCTATTTCAACTTAATTGAGAGGAGTAAACTATGTTACTAGCCTGATTATCAGCCGGTTTCATTTCACTTGATGGAAACAGTCTGAAATCAAAATTCTAAACACAGTTCCTATTCTGAATAATAATAAGTAGCGCTTTGAGAAACTGCTGAACAATTAACTCTGAGAGCATGATAGCTGTGTTGTAAATGCCATTGTTTTCTAACGTTTGCATCGTTAGAAAACGTTGCACTTTAGCCTATTCCTGGCGCTAGCACATTAGCAGAAAACTAAAAATAACGGTCTTACTACTGTATTAAGTAAATTAACGTACCAATTCAGACTCCTGCGCAAAGGGCAAGAGCCTGGCGGATGAACCTCCTGCGTTGTCTGCGCCTTCTCCGTCTCAAAAAACAAATCCTACAGACAGTGACCACATCCATGAAGTAGCAGCAATAATGTTGTGGTAGTAATCGCGTTAAAATGCAAACGGTCTCTCCGTTTATGATTAGAATCCGCTTCAGAAGCCTCTATTTAGTTTATCCTAAACGGACTGTGGAAGATTAATAATAAAACACATGTGGCTGTTCAAAGTCATTGAGCATCAACTGGTGACATCTGGTCAGTATCACGGCTATCGATGGATGCACCAGAAATGCACTGAATATTATTGTGACAGACAGAGACCGTTCACGATTACTGGACAGTGAGAGAGGTCCGCAGACAGAGGCAGGAGAACCACAGACAGAGGCAGGTGAACCACAGACAGAGGCAGGAGAACCACAGACAGAGGCAGGTAAACCACAGACAGAGGCAGGTAAACCACAGACAGAGGCAGGAGAACCACAGACAGAGGCAGGTAAACCACAGACAGAGGCAGGTAAACCACAGACAGAGGCAGGTAAACCACAGACAGAGGCAGGAGAACCACAGACAGAGGCAGGTAAACCACAGACAGAGGCAGGTAAACCACAGACAGAGGCAGGTAAACCACAGACAGAGGCAGGAGAACCACAGACAGAGGCAGGTAAACCACAGACAGAGGCAGGAGAACCACAGACAGAGGCAGGAGAACCACAGACAGAGGCAGGAGAACCACAGACAGAGGCAGGAGAACCACAGACAGAGGCAGGAGAACCACAGACAGAGGCAGGAGAACCACAGACAGAGGCAGGAGAACCACAGACAGAGGCAGGTAAACCACAGACAGAGGCAGGTGAACCACAGACAGAGGCAGGTGAACCACAGACAGAGGCAGGAGAACCACAGACAGAGGCAGGAGAACCACAGACAGAGGCAGGAGAACCACAGACAGAGGCAGGTAAACCACAGACAGAGGCAGGTAAACCACAGACAGAGGCAGGTAAACCACAGACAGCGGCAGGAGAACCACAGACAGAGGCAGGTAAACCACAGACAGAGGCAGGTAAACCACAGACAGAGGCAGGTAAACCACAGACAGAGGCAGGAGAACCACAGACAGAGGCAGGTAAACCACAGACAGAGGCAGGAGAAACACAGACAGAGGCAGGAGAACCACAGACAGAGGCAGGTAAACCACAGACAGAGGCAGGAGAACCACAGACAGAGGCAGGAGAACCACAGACAGAGGCAGGAGAACCACAGACAGAGGCAGGTAAACCACAGACAGAGGCAGGTGAACCACAGACAGAGGCAGGTGAACCACAGACAGAGGCAGGAGAACCACAGACAGGCAGGAGAACCACAGACAGAGGCAGGAGAACCACAGACAGAGGCAGGTAGAACCACAGACAGAGGCAGGTAAACCACAGACAGAGGCAGGTAAACCACAGACAGAGGCAGGTAAACCACAGACAGAGGCAGGAGAACCACAGACAGAGGCAGGTAAACCACAGACAGAGGCAGGTAAACCACAGACAGAGGCAGGAGAACCACAGACAGAGGCAGAGAACCACAGACAGAGGCAGGAACCACAGACAGAGGCAGGTAAACCACAGACAGAGGCAGGAGAACCACAGACAGAGGCAGGAGAACCACAGACAGAGGCAGGAGAACCACAGACAGAGGCAGGAGAACCACAGACAGAGGCAGGAGAACCACAGACAGAGGCAGGAGAACCACAGACAGAGGCAGGTAAACCACAGACAGAGGCAGGTAAACCACAGACAGAGGCAGGTAAACCACAGACAGAGGCAGGAGAACCACAGACAGAGGCAGGTAAACCACAGACAGAGGCAGGTAAACCACAGACAGAGGCAGGAGAACCACAGACAGAGGCAGGTAAACCACAGACAGAGGCAGGTAAACCACAGACAGAGGCAGGAGAACCACAGACAGAGGCAGGTAAACCACAGACAGAGGCAGGAGAACCACAGACAGAGGCAGGAGAACCACAGACAGAGGCAGGTAAACCACAGACAGAGGCAGGAGAACCACAGACAGAGGCAGGTAAACCACAGACAGAGGCAGGTAAACCACAGACAGAGGCAGGAGAACCACAGACAGAGGCAGGTAAACCACAGACAGAGGCAGGTAAACCACAGACAGAGGCAGGTAAACCACAGACAGAGGCAGGTAAACCACAGACAGAGGCAGGAGAACCACAGACAGAGGCAGGTAAACCACAGACAGAGGCAGGAGAACCACAGACAGAGGCAGGTAAACCACAGACAGAGGCAGGTAAACCACAGACAGAGGCAGGTAAACCACAGACAGAGGCAGGAGAACCACAGACAGAGGCAGGTGAACCACAGACAGAGGCAGGTGAACCACAGACAGAGGCAGGAGAACCACAGGCAGAGGCAGGAGAACCACAGACAGAGGCAGGAGAACCACAGACAGAGGCAGGTAAACCACAGACAGAGGCAGGTAAACCACAGACAGAGGCAGGTAAACCACAGACAGAGGCAGGAGAACCACAGACAGAGGCAGGTAAACCACAGACAGAGGCAGGTAAACCACAGACAGAGGCAGGAGAACCACAGACAGAGGCAGGAGAACCACAGACAGAGGCAGGTAAACCACAGACAGAGGCAGGTAAACCACAGACAGAGGCAGGAGAACCACAGACAGAGGCAGCAGAACCACAGACAGAGGCAGGTAAACCACAGACAGAGGCAGGTAAACCACAGACAGAGGCAGGTAAACCACAGACAGAGGCAGGTAAACCACAGACAGAGGCAGGAGAACCACAGACAGAGGCAGGTAAACCACAGACAGAGGCAGGAGAACCACAGACAGAGGCAGGTAAACCACAGACAGAGGCAGGTAAACCACAGACAGAGGCAGGAGAACCACAGACAGAGGCAGGTAAACCACAGACAGAGGCAGGTAAACCACAGACAGAGGCAGGTAAACCACAGACAGAGGCAGGAGAACCACAGACAGAGGCAGGAGAACCACAGACAGAGGCAGGTAAACCACAGACAGAGGCAGGTAAACCACAGACAGAGGCAGGTAAACCACAGACAGAGGCAGGAGAACCACAGACAGAGGCACGCAGGGGTGAGCTGATGGAGCGTGTGGTAAAGTTGTTGGCGTATGAGCAAGAACACAGAGACATACAGGGAATAAGTGCCTCGTCTGATTATTTTATTGTGACAAAATAAAGCCCACGACTCTTTTAGCAACAATCCGGAGAAATAACTCCGCAGATAACAGTGAGGGTCTTTGAAAAGGGACTTAAACCCATTATAGATGCATGAATAAAACCCCGTACTCAACACGTAGAAAGCTCATCCTTTCAGCCGTGGAAATACTCGCTCCGTGTGGACCCTCTCAGCGCCATCGTCTGGTCAGAGTGGGGTATAGCAGATTGGATTGGAATGTCTCGATGGCTCATTTTCCTTTGATTTATTATAAAAACGTATTGCTCACATTATTTGTTACTATGTCGAAATAAGAAGTCGTTTGATTTAAATGTTGTATATATGTAAATTGAATTTAACATAAATAAATAAAAAGACAGCTCCCCCCTGTGTCCTACGACCGCGGTCTGGAGCTTAAACAGGAAAGTTTTACAGAATCAATCAAACAACATTATTTCTGGCTACTTCAAGGATGCAGTGGTCGCTGTCAGCAATATCTTCACATAATCTGCAGGTGAAGGACGTCCAGAGACCGTTCCAGACAACAACACATTTTTGACTTTTAAAGTCGAAATTTTGACTTTTAAAGTCGTAATTTCGAGTTTTAAACTCAAAATTTTGACTTTCTGTATGCTTTTTTTTTTTTTTTACACCGCGGAAACGGGCTTCCATAGATCAGAGAATCGAACTGTTCAAACACAAAACACATGGAACACATACAGTAGGCATGGGTCCATAGGGAGTTGACCAATGTCCATGAATGTGTCCATAGTGTCCTGGATCATCACCAAAGTCCTTTTTCTTTGACACTAACAGTTGAACAGACTCCTGCATCGGCAAGGAACAACTCTAATACGTAATGTTGACGAACAGAGAAAGGGATCAGAGAGAGACCAAAGAGAGACCAGAGAGAGACCAGAGAGAGAGAAAGAGAGACTAGAGTGAGACAAGAGAGAGGGACCAGAGAGAGACTAGAGAGAGACCAGAGAGAGAACAGAGAGACTAGAGAGAGACCGGAGAGAGAGAAAGAGAGTGACCAGAGAAAGAGACCAGAGAGAGAGCTAGAGAGACTAGAGTGAGACAAGAGAGAGGGACCAGAGAGAGACCAGAGAGAGGGACCAGAGAGAGACCAGAGAGAGACCAGAGAGAGACCAGAGAGGGACCAGAGAGGGACCAGAGAGAGACCAGAGAGAGACCAGAGAGAGACCAGAGAGGGACCAGAGAGGGACCAGAGAGAGACCAGAGAGAGAGACCAGAGAGAGAGACCAGAGAGAGAGACCAGAGAGAGAACAGAGAGAGACTAGAAAGAGACCAAAGAAAGACCAGTGAGAGAGAAAAAAATGCACCAGAGAAAGAGACCAGAGAGAGAGCTAGAGAGACTAGAGTGAGACAAGAGAGAGGGACCAGAGAGAGACTAGAGAGAGACCAGAGAGGGGGACCAGAGAGAGACTAGAGAGAGACTAGAGAGAGACCAGAGAGAGGGACCAGAGAGAGACCAGAAAGAGACCAGAGAGAACAGAGAGAGACCAGAGAGAGAGAAAGAGAGGCACCAGAGAAAGAGACCAGAGAGAGAGCTAGAGAGACTAGAGTGAGACAAGAGAGAGGGACCAAAGTGAGACCAGAGAGAGAACAGAGAGAGACCAGAGAGAGAACAGAGAGACTAGAGAGAGACCGGAGAGAGAGAAAGAGAGTGACCAGAGAAAGAGACCAGAGAGAGAGCTAGAGAGACTAGAGTGAGACAAGAGAGGGACCAGAGAGAGACCAGAGAGAGGGACCAGAGAGAGACCAGAGAGAGACCAGAGAGAGACCAGAGAGGGACCAGAGAGGGACCAGAGAGAGACCAGAGAGAGACCAGAGAGAGACCAGAGAGAGACCAGAGAGGGACCAGAGAGGGACCAGAGAGAGACCAGAGAGAGAGACCAGAGAGAGAGACCAGAGAGAGAGACCAGAGAGAGAACAGAGAGAGACTAGAAAGAGACCAAAGAAAGACCAGTGAGAGAGAAAAAAATGCACCAGAGAAAGAGACCAGAGAGAGAGCTAGAGAGACTAGAGTGAGACAAGAGAGAGGGACCAGAGAGAGACTAGAGAGAGACCAGAGAGGGGGACCAGAGAGAGACTAGAGAGAGACTAGAGAGAGACCAGAGAGAGGGACCAGAGAGAGACCAGAAAGAGACCAGAGAGAACAGAGAGAGACCAGAGAGAGAGAAAGAGAGGCACCAGAGAAAGAGACCAGAGAGAGAGCTAGAGAGACTAGAGTGAGACAAGAGAGAGGGACCAAAGTGAGACCAGAGAGAGAACAGAGAGAGACCAGAGAGAGGGACCAGAGAGAGACCAGAGAGAGACCAGAGAGAACAGAGAGAGACCAGAGAGAGAGAAAGAGAGGCACCAGAGAAAGAGACCAGAGAGAGAGACCAGAGAGAGAGCTAGAGAGACTAGAGTGAGACAAGAGAGAGGGACCAAAGTGAGACCAGAGAGAGAACAGAGAGAGACCAGAGAGAGACCAGAGAGAGACCAGAGTGAGACCACAGAGAGAACAAAGAGAGACCAGAGCGAGACCAGAGCGAGGGAGCAGAGAGACATAGACAGACCAAGAGACCCTAACGAGTCCATCCCATCACCCGAGCATACTGGCCGTGATGTCACTCTCAGGTCTCACTGGATTGGTCGGAGGGGTCAGCCAGGACACAGAGGCTATGGCGGGGGGCATTCAGGGCAGGACAGAGGCAAATTCATCCTTAAAATCCTCCATTTGTTATGTATTAAAAATAACCCTTTGTAGCTGGATATGATACCAGCATTTGTCTTATCATATTCAGTATCAATATTTAACAAACACATGCGAGCCACTGAAACAAATGATGATGACTGTCTTTGCAAGAGAAAACTCAATGAGCATGGCCTTATTTTTCATTTGCAGTAAAACCACATTGGAATACACGTGCAAAAGTACACCAGTGTGCACCAGACAAGTGTCAAATGACTGGCAAGGCATAAAACCGAATTCTTTTTTCTCAACTACAGTATGTTGTTTTTTGTGAGAGCGGAGTTCAAGGACACAGACAAAGAATCCGTGGCTTTGCTGCAGCTCGGGAATCCCTCTAACCCAGAGCGGCTGGGGGAGACGGTTGGCATTTCATGTGATGGAACTTTAAAAAATAAATATATGTCAACAAACTTATTTTTAAACTTAATAAAGGTTGCGGGTAGGAAGGACACAGCCTCATCGTACGGCAGCTCTTTGGACTCTGGACTTGTGGCTCTATGGACTATGGACTTGTGCCTTGGGATGTACGGAATCCAGGATTTGGTTTCGGATTTGGCCGAATATTGGCTTTTTTTGACCTTAGAATTTTTTCCCACCGAACCGAACCCTGCGCTTACACTATGCGCGCTGTGGCTGCTAATAGATCCATGTGTGGCTCATGGTGTGGCTGCTGGATTCGTCCTGAAGTTCAGTTTGCGGATGTCAAGTAGTGTAAATAAACATGTAAACAGTTTGTGTTGTTATATACAGATTATATTATTGATTTGTGCTCATATATTTCAAGGTTTATTACGAGAAATGGCAGGAAAAAAGCTCAGAGAAAAAATTACTTTAGTAGCGCCCCGATGCGTTCAAAGGCACACGGAAATGTGGGAAACACACAGACAGTTTACCATTTTATTCCGACTAATTATTTTAGAAATACAAGACAGGGATCCACATAACTGTATTATGATTAAACAGGTAAAGGAGTGAATCTATTCTAGAATTAAACTGTCTATGTGCTAGCCTCATTTCCTTGTGCCTTTGAACGCATCTGGGCGCTAGCTGTGCGGCTACTGTGCAAGTGAGAAAGTGAAAATGGAACTCGTGAGCAGAAAAAGTGTTGTTTGGCAGAACTTTTAGTCCAAAGAAGGTGATTCTAGTCGAGCTACAGGACCGATTTGTCTCGTGGCGGTAAGGACCCTAAACAGTTTACAACACCGCCGCTGTTAAAACATTTGTGTATGAAACATTTGCGTATGAAACATTAATGGACTGAGGATGGAGTAGGTTTCGGTTTCGGATTCGGCCCAAAAATCTGGATTTGGTACATTCCTACTTGTGCCTCTATAGACATCTGGTCAATTCCATTACTATTTGAAAACACATGATAACGTGATACTTTTAGGGTTTAGGGACGTTTTCCCACAATATAAAAAAAAAATGCGTCTGGAAAAAATCACTGACTGCATCTTTAATTTGCATCTCATTATGTTTATCTTAAATAATCACAAACACATTTCCTCTGCACCAATATATTGAATTTCAAAAAATTTAAATATTGAATGGGAAATGGAGATCTATCATGTTCCCAGACCAAAAAGTGAAAAAGACAGGACCACTTGTTCAGTTCTCAGCCCAAAGAGTCAAATAGTGACTCACACGGCTCTATCTAAAAAGTATAAGAAATGTTTTATATATATTAAGACAAAGGCAGCATGACGCTAGGTTTTTTCATCAGGGCTCTTGGCAAATTGCGTCCGTAACAAAAATCAAATCAGTAATTAGAAATACGTTCTCTCATAACAGTAACAGCAGGTTGTTTTCCTCAGTTTTATCCCTCATTTGTTCTCAGCAGCAGGACACAAATGCAAACACGACGCCATGACGACGTTTTAATTATTTACAACAACAGCAAATAAGTCAAGCTGCAGCTACACGAGTATGAACAGCTTGGCCCGGCTCAAAAAGGTCCATGAGCACCTGCGCTGACATGCCTGTAATCTCACTCCTTGGCGGTGGGGGTGTACCCGGAAACAGAATTACCCAGTGCTTTGGTATGCCGCCTTCTTTCCTATCAAAAACGTCTCTGCAGGATGGTCCAAACGTCTCTCTTCGATGCTGAGGGGAGGATTTTTGTTTGGACCAGTCTATAGTTTAGCCGCTGTGGACTTTTGAATGGACTCTTTAAATGAATGGGGTTTTCACATTTTCCTGCGGGAGGGGCTGCCGGCGGCCATTTTGAATCTGCCCATGTCTGTGGCACATTGAAGATATTGAGGGATTTTTATCTTGCGACATGTTTCAACTCATTTCAATGTATTTTTGCTTAGCCCTACAGTTTATCACAACAGCAGTCGTCTCGGAGGAAATTAAAAAGTTGTCGATTCACCATTGGTCCATAGGGGGCGGGATGACGTCCATAAATGTTAGTAAAATCCATCTTGCCCCATCTCTGGAATCTTGTGCGGTTTAAAGGCACACCGTGTAACTCTTGGCCACTAGGGGCGCTAGACCTGCAACTTTCACGTTTAGCGCCCCTAGTGGCCACAAGCAACTCAGCACTGTCGCAAAAGTCAAACAGTCAGCCGGTGTCTTTTGAGTGTGTATTCAGACAGCATGCACTGGTGTGTGTGTTCAAACTGTAGAGACATGCCTACAGATATTGAGAGACTCTGCTGTGGTCAGCCTCCAGACCGCTGCATTAGTAATCTACCACACATGGACTTCTATATCCTGGATGAGGGAGTTCTGCGTCTAGCTCGTGCTGCGTGGAATGACATCTTTGCGGTCGATGACATCCAGGAACCAGGTGAAGAGCAGCGCTCATACAGACATGCAGCTTACAGCACGATCCCTTTCGCGTTTCCTCTTTTTAGCCTCCTCCGAAGGTTTAAAATTTTTCCTTGCCTCAGCCATGACCAGGAGTCGAGCAGGTGAAAAATGAGTAGCAAAAGCCTTAGCTCCATGAGTATATCAGCGCCTGTAGCCGTAAAGCAAGTCTTTCTTCCAAGTCACGTGACCTGGTGGCAGACGGTCCGTCTGCTCGAAACTTACATGGGCGGTATTTCAAGAGGGCAGCCCCGCTCGGAGCATTGCAAGTGTCAAGCGCTGTATATTGGCCCAAGTATTCATATAAAATAACTCATATGTGTCAACTCTTTAGGTCACAAAGTCCGCGGTGTGCCTTTAACTCATTGACTGCCAGCCGTTTTGGACGATTTCACTGATTTTCAAGACCCACAGAGTTTCGTGTGCTATTACTAGGGGAAGTTTGAAACCAGAATCTGAAAAACTGGACTGTATCCTTTCATAAGCAAAATTAAGTTGGTTTCTTGCTAGTTTTTTTTCTTCTGTAATCCCCAGTCGAATAGAGGGAAGTTTGACAGAAATCATCAGTCTCAGACAAATACGTCAATGGCAGTCAATAAGTTAAACAGCTCATTTTGCACAGAAAAGTAGGCAGATATTTGTAAAAAAAAATATATATATATACAACAGAGATAGAAGAGCAGCAAATACGTCTAGTCTTATGCATATGATTAATTCCTAAAAATGAAATATATTGTCCACCTCTCTCCCTTTGTTCCCTGTTTTGCTAACTGTGTTGGTACATCACAGATATTGCACCGACCGAACAGTCTTTGTGGAGTCAGAATGAGTCAGGACGTGGAGAAGCTTCACCTCGATAAGACTATTATCTCTGGGTCCCGCAGATGGTGCTTTAGTGGGTGTAACCGCAGGCTTGGACCAGCAGACTGCAGTTATGGGCCACATCACTGCAGTGCCATAAACTCAGATAAAAATAAAGTTTGATAAGAACATAAAACCTTTAAACTTGGGCTGTGTAAGTGTGATGGAAAGGATCCTTTACAGAAGTCATATACTCTGTGACACAAGGATTATTGTAGTGTGTAATCTGTCACGACTACATTTACCACACAGCCTTTGTTCCTTCTATAGCCACGTGTCCTTGGGCAACACACTTCATCCCCCTGTATGAAAGTCTCTCTATGACAAAGTGTGTAGAGAGAGGCCAAAAGCACCACAATCCAATCCACTAAAACTACTTTCTCTGGCTCCGGAACTCACTCTACACAAACTTATTTTTAACAACAGTTATAAAAACACGGCGCTATGGAGAGGGGCGCGCTTTCAAATTATTCTTCCTCCTCTTAATGTCTCCTTTTTACAGCTTTAATTAACTCCAGCCCATAAAAATTAATACGCCGGCGAAAAAGTGACGCTCAGACGCCTGGGATGAAGAAATGTTTTCGAGTCTGCTGCTTCCTGAAACATACGCAGCTGCCGTTCGTTCCCACGACTTAAATCCGAACGCATCAAATCACAAAGTCAAAGCTAAGGGCAATTTGTGTTTGCGAGTTGGCTCAATGGGCAGCTTGTTTGAGTAGTAGCGAAAGACGAAGAGAACAAAATCGGATCCTGATCAACATAATAATGGCATTTCCGCTGCTCCGACCTCAGATGAAATCACTTGCAAAGCATTATGGGATTTCTGGCAGCACGTAGCCGGGGACGCACGCTAGCATGAATACCATTGATTAATCTGCAGTGGTATAAGCCGCACTTTAGTCTCAGACGTCCGCAGAGGAAATTCTACATCTCAAAATGGATGAGTTTGGAAGTGTCTGCTGCAAGAGTTTATGGAGGTAGTGTAGAAAAAGTATTTATCTATTTTATATACAATACTTTTGACAAATATTCCCATTGACCTGTTTTATCATCATGCACTTCCTGAATACAAATGCTTGGTTAAGAATCTTCATCAGTACTTAAAGCTGAGGTACACACATACAGATACTATACATAAATCAAAAAGAGCAAAGATGCAATCCTTCAGTTGTCTGCACAGTTGAACAGAACCGTTTTAAACCTGGATTTGTCCATGGTCAGGGAACATGGAGCCTGTCTCACATTTTCAAGAAGACGGTTCCAGATTG